GTTCCAGTATTTCCTAAGATCGAACTATTAGTCGATATGCCACTTACTCCATTGGTGGCTATGTTACTGGTCGAAGATGCAACAGACTGTGCATTCGAAGGGATTACATTAGATGTTTCGATCGAAGTGGACGCGTTAGTGCCTGTTGCATGTGGGCCATTTTGGTCCCCTTGTTGATTGTCTGAATTAGATATTTTGTCCAAACGTTTTCTTCTGGATAAAGGTTGGTTGCTGTTGGTTATCTTACCACTTCTCAGGTTCATAAAACAGCAAACTTCTTAGGTTCCAACGTTTTTGTAATGGTTATGTCTCAACAATCCTTATTTCTAATATCCAATTATTGGTCCCATCAGGTGTGCCAATTTGTTTCCAGTGATTTCTGGTAAACAACCGCTAGTCTTCCAAACTATCGAATAATCTTTCTGACTGTTATTCAATTCCTCTGGTAACTCACAGGATCGACTAGATTGATCATAGGACTCCTTGGATATTAAGGTTACTCTCACGATCGAACAAATATTCATGGTTGATATTGTATATGTGTTTGGCTTATTTCGATTTCTCTCTCTAAAAGTCTAAAGATGTAATCAAAATGTGTGTGAAAACTAAGTTACATGAATAAATGCTAATTGTAATGCTAATTGTAAAGACATGTAAAACTGCATAAAAGTGAAGTAAATGGTTTCGACTTACAAAACAGTTAATATAAAGGATTTCTGGAACGTAAAAGGTTTGACTTTAAGGCTTGAAGGTAAAGGTATGGAAAATATGACAGTTTTCTGAGATATAAAGTGCTTGAAATATGAAGAAAACATTAAAATGTAAAACTTTGAAGAAGAGATTTCGAAGTGAAAAGACTGTGAATAAGAAAACTTGTAAATGTTATTTGACAAAAGGGATAAAGGAAAGTACTGGAAATGGTAAAAGGTTTTCATTAGATCAGAAATACATGGTGCTATCATACATACATTTCTCTTGCATTCGTTTCCCTTGCCATGTGGTAGTTTGAATGTTACTGAGTATTTTGTATAATAGATATGACACACGAAATCCTAATACTAAGACTTCTATTTATACTAATTCGACCATAACGGTCTTGCTATAGGATTATGCCACGTTTAGAACATGCAAGACAATGCCTCTTTCATCTTTCCATGTGTCCCCAAATGCTCCAACACATAACTTTCAAACTTCGAAAGTCCCGCTTCCATTTAAATTTCAAATGCTTTGGTGCTTCTCCGTTTCGAACGCTCTTCCCAGACACAACCTTGTTGTTATTTCGAGACTTCTTTAGATATGTTCCCATAATTGCCACTCGAAGCTCCAAGCTTTGACACACTTATTCGAAACACTGCTTCTGCTACTTCGAAACATGACGCTTTACCTCATTTCGATCAAAACGTTTAATTCATTTGGCTTCTAATAACATTATCAAAATCTTCAGCCAACACCACCCTATAAGACATGTACCTTGCATTGAAACCATGTTTGTCAAGATAACTTCAAAAACAAGTCAAGAACTCATAACATGTGATTCTTTGTTTCTGATCATTTCAAACCTCAAAACCTTTCCTCTATAAATAGAGATACTATTTGCAAGAGAACTCACGAATACACAAGCTCCAAAACTTCCCCAAACTCAGAACTGCATCACAAACCACCATTGTTGCATATTCTGACCAAGAACTTCAAACTTCCATTTCACTCGTGCGTTTCTTGGCCTTTTGCTTCCAAAATCTTCCAAACATCATACATAAGCCATCCATATCCCTGTTACACGACTGTAACACCATCTTCATCCATTTCCAAGGTCAAAACTACAGCATCACAGTTGGACTTCTCTAGAACATTCCAGCCACCTTCAACTCAAGCCAACCATTACGTTAGCTTCCTAGAGGTCTAAGGAAGCTAACCTGATCATCACCATCACTTGAAACAAGCTCAAACTCATTTCACGATTTCCAGTTTTGAGGTATCTTTCTTGAACTTCTATCTCATTATTTAGGCATTGTTAGGTTTGCATTTGTGAAGATAGAATGTAGACATCATTGCCCCGAAACTATACATGTCCATAGATTTCATTTATGTTGCTTGAGCATGGAGAATTTTGAGTTTAAACTTGCTGAAACATTTAGGTCAGAATTTGGTACTTTCAAAAATTCTCATTCATCTTTGATTTATAGCTTATGATATTTATATGGTTGGATTCGTGTGAAAAAATGGAGCAATTTTCATGTTTACATTTTTGCAAATGGTTGAGAAATGAGCAAGTTACAGATCCTTTGGCTGGAGGTTGAAGATGAAGTACAGTCAGGGCACATTTTATGTTATATATTTATCATTTCATACAAGTTAATGGATGTATCACCACCCCGGTGGTTAAAGCGCGCGCCTGTCATTATGAGGTCCTGGATTCAAGCCCCAGCATGACCTTTTTTTTCTATTTTTTTTCACTTTTTTGACATTTTTTGTGTTTTTTGCAGCGCCTGGGCCATCCTTTGGGTCTGACTCTTTTTTTTCTCACCATACCCCCTGTTTCACTTATCCAATCCTTTGACTTATTTTTATTTTATTTATTTATTTTACTTTTTTTATCTTTTATTTATTATTATTATTAATATTACTATTATTATTATTATTTTCATTAATCATAAAAAAAATCCAAAAAAATATTTTATTTATTATTTACACTTATTTATTTTATTTTCTTATGAAACAAAAACATTAAAAACATTTTCTTTTGACAAATTAATTTCTCTTTTAAATAATTAAATATTTAGACTTAGTTTTAATAATTATTTTATTAATTAAAATTAATTTAGAATTTAGGTTTCTTTTAATTATTTCATTTTCATTTTATTATTATTTAACTTAAAACCCTTTTTCTTCATAAAAATCCTAAAAATCTTTTTTAATTTAATTTCTTTTCTCAATTAGTTTAAGTTAATTTTATTTTACTTTTAACTAATCATTTCTCTTAATTAGGTTTAGGTTAAACCTTTTTTATGAAAACCAAACAAAAATTATCTTTTTTTTTTTTTTATATTCTTGTATTTATATATTACTATTTATTCAATTATTTGTACATATTCAATATGGTTGTAATAATTATTTAGGTTTAATTTTCTTGCAAAATCCCCATTTGTAATTTGTATACCCCCTCCCCTAAGTGATGTAATAGTGTAGTAATTTTAAATTCCGCAATTTATCGCTTTATATACAAAATGCTAGTAATTAGGGTTTTGTATGGAAAGACTAAAACTAATCAATAGCAAACCCTAATCAAAGACAAATCAAGCATGTAAATCAATACACTTGCACACAAGCACCCCTAGGGTAAATCCACTTGGTTGCCTTACAAAAATGGCCATATTATGCATGTGAGGTATCTTAGTAACAACAAACAAAATACAAGATCATAGTCCATCGATGACGCTTAAAATATTGCCTTTCAAATGATCTTAGTCCCTCAAAGAGAAATGCTAAGATACCTTGCAATATTGCTAATCATGGTTATATGATGATCCACGCCCGTCCCATTTACATCCAAAGATAGGGTTACTTACCAAATCAATGGTAAGATAACAATGTCAAAAGAAAGAGAAAATGAACATGAAAGACTTTTGAGTAGGTAGAAAATTCCTAGTTACTTGCTCAATTTCAAAACAAAACATCCTTGTGTCATACCCCAAATTTGCTCTACCCTTATATTATATTTGGGTTTTTAATTCAATAAGTCGTATTATTTAGTCTTTATTTCTATGGGGTGCAAAACATTGAAGAGGGGTGTGATTGACCCAAAATGGACCATCAATATCTGATGGCCCATTAGGTTTTAAAACGAGAGTCTGTTTCTTAATGAGGGGTGTATTTTTTTAAACAAGGTGTGAACAAATCACTAGTAAGACCCAATACAAATTGGAAAGGGCCCATTTGGTTTTATCCATTTTTTTTAATTGAAGAAGGGAGGTGTATAGAAAATTTCTTTTTTTGTGTTTGTTAAGGCCCAAGTAGACTAATACAGTGGCCCATTTCAATTTTGAGTTCGTTTTAGAAATTGTTTTGTTATAATATTATTATTTTTATTACTATTTTTTTACTGTTATTAACTTTGCTTGCTATTTTTAATTGTGATTAAAACATATTATAATGAAGGCTTAATAAAAGAAATGTGTTGTTTTATTTTACTGATTAGAATAGGAGGTGTTAATATAAGAAAGAGTTTTGTTTTCTTTTAGGGCCTAATCCAGGTCAAGTTAATGTTGGGTCCGTTTCGAAATTCTCTAGCCCAACTTTTTGATCAAAGTATTTGAAAGTCAATTTCTTTTTCTAATTATTTTTTCATTTTTATTAATTAATAATCAGTTATTATTAATATTATTTTTTGAAGTTGTATTCATGGCTTTTTTTTTTATAAAGAAAACGTGAGATCAATTGGAAGGATCAAAAACCATTTCACCTGGTTTATCTCCAAGGCTTAGTTTAAGAAATAAATTGCGTGTGGCCCATTCAAAAATATAGTTACTGTTGGATTCATGATACCAAAACGGAAATGATATAAAACAAATCCAGATTTTTTTTCCAGTACATTCAATACGAAATCAATAAACAAAATCAAATCCCAAAAGCAGACTATATCAGCAAACGTTCTTTAATTACAGACCAAAATTCAAAATAATTTCCTATTTCGAAAAACTAATCAATTCTGAAAGTTAAGTTTACAAACACATTAAAATATTTCCTAATTTTACTGATTCATAAAACAACTATAAAACCCAAAAAAAAAAAATTACAGAGAAGGGGACAAACAGTAGAAAAAAAATCCAGTGCAAAGAATAAAAACAATTACAGCAGTATAAAGGGGGAGAGGATGAGAGACCTCCAATACCACGCGACCATCATCACTGCCAACATACCTTGAAAAGAGAAACAAAAGAGGTTGAAACAAAGGAGAAGATAAACCATAGAACAACCGCAACGAACATCACCGCCAGAAATCGATGTTCACGTTGCCTCTGACAGCGGACCCGCTTGACAACCTTGCTCTGATCGAGATTCAGCCGCACCGTCATCGATCATCTGTCCTCAAGACCCGTGCACAGCCGTTGATCGAAGAGCCGCCACACTTGCCATCATCATCATCGCCGATGAAGATGACCACGAATCACCCCCGATACAGCCCATGTTTCTATGTTTCAAACCATCACGAAATCGGCGCCCTCCACGTAAGCTAGTCGTTGCCATCACATATATGAGAGAACAAGGAGGAAAAGAAGAACGGATTTAGCTCTTCTGTTAAAGAAAATTAAGAAAGAAAATAACACCACTCCCAAATACTCTCCTTCTCTCTCTCTATGAAGTACTAAAGGGGGTATATTATTGTTTTTTTTTCTTCTCTAAATGTTCAATTTGGTTTTAAGTTGGATCAAGGTTGATAAGTCTAATGAGCTTTGGGATTTTTTTTTTTATTTTACTAAATCTTGCCATGTCTAAATTTAACACCCCAAATTTTCATGTTTTTTTAGTTTTATTTAGGTAATTATTTATTTGTTAACCAATTAGACATTAATTTTTAATTAGATTAATTTCTAACATAAGCTCTAATTGTGCTAATTTAGGCTAATTTTATCCAGTTCCTTTAGATTATGAAAAACGATAATTATTTCTAAAATTAATAAAATGCCTGAAATAATTTGTAAATTCTCTGGTATGTAAAAATAAAATTCTTTTAAATCAGAATTAATTCAATATTTTACATCAAAATATTGAAACATGTGCAACTCACCGAATACTTCATTCGCGAGCGACACGTGGCCAATATCTGGCCATGTGACGAGAAGACTATATCAGACTCCCTCGTTTTACGTCTTAATACAACTAACTAACCTCAAATCAATTATTTTACTAATCAAGTTTATACTTTCAAAAAAGGGTTGTATTAATATATTTTATCGATTGCGAGTTATATCCACGATTTTGCAATTTACAAACTTGGATTTGGTTCAAAGAGAATTCAAGATATTTCTACAACCCATACAAAATACAAACAAACCGTGAACTACGAAATAAGACTCTGATTCCTCCTAAGAGGATACGTAGGCATACGATCAAAATCGTGGCGAGTCCTGCTAACTAAAATTCAAACCTTTTTCCCTTATTAATAATAATTACCCTATTTCTTAAAAATAATGCTTCTAAACCTAGTATCCTTGTGAACAAGGTAGATAAGGGGTGCCTAACACCTTCCCCTCGTCTAGAACTGAGTCCAAATCTAGAATCTCTGAACTTTATGGTTATTCCTTTATACTCCCTTCCTTTAGGATAAAAATTAAGGGTGGCGACTCTATCTAAAAAACCAATTGCAACACCTTGCTATTTTCAAAAAAACAAACACCTACACTTTCAAAAACATCTTTCAAACTTGAAAACATTTTCAAAAGATCAACATCTTTGTATACATTCTTACGAACGAGAATCATTACAAAGTTTGCCTAAACAATAGTCTCTTTTCAAAAATACTTTCAAAAACCATACAAAGCACAATTTCAAACAAAAGCAAGTGATCTAACAAGTAACTAAGAGCCCATGAAAAATCATGGATGAAAAGGGTGCTAATACTTTCCATTTTCATAATCTACCCCCCGAATTCAAGAAACAATCTCAAAGGTCTTTTCTGTACTTTTTCACCTTTCATTTTTGGATAAAAGAAAAGTCGGTGGTGACTCTTGCTAACCACAACATTTGCGATCAAACGCAAAACACCTAAGTCAGTTCTCCCACCGTATCACACACGTGAACAAGAAAAAGTTGATTAATTGATTGTTTTTAAGTGAACGATCACACTTGGGCGATAAAATAAAAGGTGATTGATGATGCATTTAAAATTGAATTATGGAAAAGACTTGGCGTTGTACCAAGGATCGAAAACTTGAAAATGAAAATGATTTAAAAAGTTTGAATTAAGGTGAGTAAACAATGAGTTCAATTAAATGTGATATTATACAATAGTTCAAATTAAGTGAAAAGAAAATTTAAGATATTAATTAAATTGTTTTTGGTATTTTTGAAAAAGATTCATTTTAGTTGTTTTGTTTTGTTTTATTTTTTACTAATTAATAAAAGCAAAATAAACATACATAGCAAATACCCACACCCCAATCAAAACCCTAAATCCCTATCTACTATTTTTGTATCAGTTACATTGAAAGATTACAAGGATAAGTGGAAAAGTAAAATACAAACAAGGGAATGGGGTACATTTAAAATAATAATGTATAATAAAAAAATGCAAAAAATAAAATAAATAAAGTATAAAGGAAATAATAAGAGTGAAGTGGATATACTATCAATACATAAGGTTAGCATAAATGGCATAAAAGAAATAATAAAATGAGAGTGATGTCGTTAATAATATACAAATGGAAAAAAAGAACAAAAACATAAAAGAAATAGTAAAAACAAGAGAAATACTAAATAATTAAGGGTTAAATATGTTTTTGACCCCTATAAATTACTAAATTTTATTTTTAGTTCTTATAGAAAAAACATGATATGTTTTAGTCCCTACAAAATTATTATGCACGTAATTTTAGTCTATGCTGCTAAATCGATGTGTATTTTTAAATGATTATTTTGCAGACATGTTTAGAACGTTATAAAAAGTTCCTAAAAAAAAAAAAGAAGTCAAAATTTGATTTCTAAGTCATGATTTCATTACTTTTATCAATATTTTTTGAAATTTAAAAAATTTATATTTAATTCTTCTCATTTTAAAAAATTCTAAAATTTGGTAAAGAAACATTTTCTAGTATTCTAAACACGTATAAAAAAATTATTAAAAAATTTAAAAGTTTAAGGGTAATAAAATAGTTTTTAAAATTTTAGAAAATAGCATAGACTAAAACTACATGAATAAAAAAATTTAAGGACTAAAATTTATCATTTTTTAATAGGGACTAAAAATGAAATTTAAGATATTTATAGGGACTAAAAACATATTTAACCCAATAATTAATTACTTGAAATAAAAATATATATGGACTTTTTTTTAATATGTTAGAAGATTAAATTCTAATTGGTGCACAACAAAATAAAAATAAAATCGGAATTAAAATCGGGTAAAAAATGAATTAGAAACATAAAAAATAAAAAAGTAAAAGAAAAAACAAGCTAGGCCATTAGATCCAGATGAATCAGATCAAACTTGAGTGAGCTCACGTGAGTTGGAGCATATGGGATCAATGTGGGAGTGGTTGTGCCATGTGGCACTTTGTATGAAGAGCCGATCTGATGCATGACCAAGATTAAATTTGGATGGGTATGAATGTTCAATCATATGTTCATCTTAAATTGATCATAACTTACTCAATTTTATAGGGAATTTAGTAAATGAATATTAAAAACTTATCTACTCGATCTCACAGTCATCATGGAATGCTAAAAAATAAATAAATAACAATTAAAAAACAAAAATTAAACAACAACAACTATTTAAATCTAAGATGAAAAATTAGATTTGTGAAGCCATGATTCGAGTCAAGAAGAAATTATGATTTGAGTTACAAGGTGTTGTGATTCGAGTCAAGTTAAATTCATGATTCAAGTCAATTTAAACAGAACCAAATCCATGGAGATTTGTGATTCGAGCTAGAATTACAACAGGATCCGAGTCACATGAGGATGTGATTCGAGTCAAGTACATTTTGTGATTCGAATCAAATCATTCAGAGGCAAATCTCAATTTTCACAAGGTTCCTGATTCGATTCACACTTACCACTTGATTCGAATCAAGTCACTTAACATCTTGATCTAAGAGTTCTAACTTGTGATTCAAGCCACACATTATGAAACGACAATAAAGCAATCTTACTAGACTAAAAAAGGAACACTATCATAGACCAACTCTCTAATTTTATTGAGTAATGTAGGATTTTAAAGGTACTACGCTAAATATTCGAAGCGAATACAATACAAATCAAATGCAAATGAAAACAAGCACACAAATATTTGAACGATAAGCAAATTATAAATAAGCGAACAAATTATAACATATATACTCAAACTGACAAAAAAATATCAAAATAAAGAATACGATACCGTTCAAAAATGTGACTGCCCTTTCACTAATATGGGTATAAAGTGCAATGCAAACCCTAATAATTCTATGCAGGATTGATCCATATCATAAAAATTACTAACAAAAATACTATGCGCTACATTTATTCTATTATAAACAACATTTGGTACAATTGAAATATTAATGTCTACAAATAAATGGACATACCTATTATGGAGTTGGTTTAAAAGTTGTGGCAAACAAAGTGTTAATGATTACCAACACGTTAATCGCCTCACGTCCAATATCAATCACTCTCATAAGAAACCTCAAACATATAAATCTAAACAAAATAATAAAAATTGTTAAAAGGATATGAACAAGATGAGCAAAATAAGAGATAAGAGCAATCAAAACAACCTTAAGAAAATATATGTGAAGGTTATTTGCAATGTGAATATGTCAACAGAAAGCTATCAAGAAATTAATACGGTGATCTACGATGAAGATGGGATTATGTCTTCCACGATGATTTGAAAACTTTTAGGGTTTAAATATATATTAGTAGCAAAAACTTTCATGATGTTACAAACTTTGAGTTATATTAAAGATTAATGTTTTACTAAGACTAAAATAAAATTTGACTGTTTGAAATTTGTAAATATAGTAAAGAAGAATGCAGCATGCATGTCAATATTATGAGTTTTGTTATATCAACAAAGTTAGATTATAATTTGATGAGATTAGATTTAACTATATGTGTTTGGTTAGTAATAGAGTTAGTCATGTTATAGTTTGTTTCGCTTTAAAATTGTTCCTATCTAATTTGGATTGAAGAAAACCCTTATCCATGTATAGGATTGTATTTTTGAACCTTATTTAATTTTAGTTAAAAAATATATAAAAATAAAATAAATAAGAATTTAATGGTAATAAAATGTCAATATAATAATAGACATTCATTCAAAATATTTTAAAGTCTCAAATTAATATAAATAATTTAAAATTTACAATAATCAACTTTTCTCTGCCCTGTCGTTCCCTCAATTCATCTCTAACCCTAATCGCTTCAATTTTCTAATCCTTTTACTTTTCAAAGTTGATTTTGCAGGTTGCTTTAATGGGGAAATCCTCCACTTCACTCAAAAAGAAACATTCCAAAACTTCATCTAAGGTAATCTCAATTATATTCTCATTCTTTCAATCTAGGGTTTTTAATTTTAACTTTCAGATTTATTCATTTTAGTTAGGTTTTCAATTTTCAATTTCAGATTTTTTCCCCCTAAGTTTTTGCTATTTGATATTTTGGGAAAAAAATCGATTTTTCTTCCCCTAGTGCATAAAAATCTGTTTTCTTTAATGTCCTTTTGATGTGTGGGCTGCTAGGTATTTTTCTGGGTTTTAGGGTCAGTTTGGATTGTCTTGTTTCAACTTATCCGCTACATAAGCACTTTCAAAACTTTTTGAGAGAGTTTATGAAACCTATTTGTCTTTTCTTGAAAAAAGTTATACTTGTCCTCTCTAGCGCTTTATGTGACCTAATAATTTTCTATTTTAGTTCCCATGTTTTCCTTCATCTTGTCTCCGTTTCGTTCTTTGCATGCTCTGCTGCGTCTTTCATCTTCATCGTTTTGTTTTGCTTTGTTTTGCTTCTTTGTTTGTGTTTTGTATCTTCTGCGTTTGTGTTCTGTTCTGATTATTTTGATTTTATGTTCTTCGTTGTGTTCTTGCTTTTGATGCTCTGTGTTCTCCGTTATGTTAAGTTCAGCTTTTTGATTACTTTTAGAACTTGATTTTGATGGGATGCCATCTTAATTATATTTACAACTTGATTTTAATGGGAAATGATAAAGTTGGATATAATTATTGAGTATGATGTTCTTTTTAGTTTTGTGTGTATTTCTATTTTTGAGTATTTATGTTTACTTTGCACCATAGTCACATAATTCGTTCATTTAGCTACGAACCTCGAACCAGTTCACAAGAACCAAAACGTGGTACTTTCACGTATTGGTACGTGCAAATTTGTATGGAATTCGTTGAAGCCACATATTAGAAAGCCTATATACTATTCATTTAATTGGCCTTTAGATCACTTATGAAAATAGTAGTACCGAGTAAGTGGCATATAAGGATTTACCCCAGTACACTTTATTTACTACCACTTTACTCATCATCTGAGAGATGTGCTTCTTCTTTTATAAACAATTCTCCACTCTAATGTTTATGACCTACCCAATGTCGGACTGTATTTATACATAAGTTGGTTTACAAGCCTTACAGAACACTATGTAACATTAGTAAATTTTAGTCTTCTTTTAGATTGTACTTATTATTTTCTTACTAGACTAGTTAAAAAACTATTTATTGCATACCGATAACGTACGGACTAAGTATTACCCTCCACTTACCCAACTCTTTGAGAGTTGTGAACCCGAACCCACGTACCGAAGCGAATTGTGAATTATGCTTTGTATGCTGATTTTTAGTCTTTCCAATAGGGGCTATCCACTATAGTGCTATAGCATTTTAGGGGGTTGGCACTACGCGATGCTATCTGGGATTATCAACATAAGAAACAACTTATGAAATATTCATATAATCTTTCAGCTTATTTATTAACACAACTCTCTAGTTTTCATAAGCACATATATTATAAGCATTTATACTATCAGCACTTAATTAAGTAGTTTATCCAAACATAGCCTTAATGTGTTGTTTTCTATTTGATTTGGTTGTTGGGTTTTCCCACCTGCCGAGTGTATATAGCTTGTTGAGTTGATTAATTTAACTGAACATGTATTTTCCTATTTGTGTCTAATTTATACTCAATTTGGTGGTTTAGTCAAAAGCAAGCAGTAGAAGTAAGAATAGGAAATATAAATCAAAGAAGGTTCGCCGCCATGACGTTTCTCTTTCTAGCTCAGACTATGATGATTCAAAAAATATCGATACATCGATGTCTTCTAGTTCTGAAGATAGGTCTAAAAGAAAAAGGGACCGGTCTCGCACAAGAAAAGATGTGAAAAGTCGTAAGAAGAGGTCTCGGAGACGTTCATGCAGCAGTGACAGCAGTGAGGACTCTCTCTTTGCCAGGAAGAGAAAAAAGGTGAAGAGGAAAAACAAGTATGACGAGACAAAGGAGAAATCCCGTAGGAAGAAAAAGGTTAAGACAGAAGCGAGTGTTAGTTTGGTGAGCAGTGGGTCACGAAGCTGCTCAATATGTCCGGGTGGGGTTGACAGCAATGATAATGTTGAACATGAGCGCTCCAGGGAAAGAACAGAAAGAAAGGAAAAAGACAAAAGACGGTCGAGGGGAAGAAGTGGAAGTGCAAAGAGTAGTAGATATAGGGCTAGGAGTTGTTCACCTTGCAGTAGTCCCCACGGTGAATGTAACTGTGAAGGGACTGAAGAGAAATATGTGCCCAAGAACAAAACGAGGTGGCTCCGATCAGTTATTACTGTTGCAAACGAAGGGGATGAATCTAGGCAATTGTCTGGAAATGAAACCAAAGAGGAAGTTGTAGATGATCTTGACTACCCTTGTAGAAGTAATGATAGTAACGATGGGGGCTCAAAGAGGGAGTTGGATCATCATCATACACATCGTGTACCCGAAGAGGAATTGAGGGCCAAGGATGATACAGTAGATATGAATGGTGATGTTAACTTGACAGAACCCAAACTTAATGATACGAGCACCCTTGAAGTTTGTGCTGGGACAAGTGGATCTATAAAGGAGGAAACAAATGGTGTTTCTGGTGCTCTGAATGATGTTGATTTGGAGTTAATTCTTAGACAAAGAGCTTTGGAAAACTTAAGAAAGTTCCTAGGTAAAGTCCAGTCTCACGCAAAAGCTTCTGAACAGAAAAATAAAATTGTCAGCCAAGTGAAGCAACCAATCACCGACAAAGAAGAACTTGTTCAAGATAAACCTAATATCCATAATGTTGCTATAGCGACAAAATTTGGTAAGCAAACACCTGTAGAAGAAACTAGTTTGCATGTTGGGAGGAGAAATTTAGTTACTTATCCAAAAAACAATGGAAGGAATTTGAATGTGGATAAAGAAATGTCTGGTTCTGCCAAGACTCAAATGGCTAGTGCACCAGGAAAAGTGGTTGATGCAGACAGCCATAGCGAAGTAGTAGTCACCGAATCCAATAATAACAAGACGGGCAATTTGGAATTGACCCCATCAGAATCTTGCCATGATTCACTCCAAAGTCGCTCATCTCTGAAGCAAACGACTGTGTCTGGACTTCCTCGTGAAAAGTTGGTTTTGGCTGAAAGTATTAAAAATGCGGATACTTTTGAAGCTGCTCGTATCACAAGTCACTGTAGGAGTGATAGTCTCAATGACATTAGAGGCGTTCCTTCTACTGGTCCTAAACTTTCTATTCTTGAACCTAAATTTAAGCATAACAACTTGGATAAGGGGAAAGATGTTGCCAATGATCATTCTCAGTTTAAATCTAAGCAAACATCTAATTCCTGCGAACCTTCTAATGCGAAGTTGCCGGTGAGCGAGGCTGATGAAGAAAAGAATGCGACTAAGACAACACAATCTTCAATCCAGAATATTGATGGCAGTGCCAGAGACATTGTCGAGTCATGCAATATTGCTACCCTTGAATCTGTAGAAAACAATTCAGGCAAACTACAAGATGGATCCAACCAGGGCTCTCAGTTTGAGCAGAAAACAATGACTGTGATGCGGGGTGGTGAATTGGTGCAGGTGAGTGTGTGAGAATCTGTCTTATATATTATGAAATTTGTGTCATCGTGGTGAGCCATATCATACTATATGTAATCCGTTCCTTTCATTGTCCTTTTTATTATTATTGCTAATGGTTTGTGAATGTTCAGGTTAGCTACAAGGTCTATATCCCTAAGAAAACCCCTGCCTTGGCTAGAAGGAAACTTAAGCGATGATCTTATTCGACAAAACTTATAGAGGTTGTTTGTAGTTTGAGTCATGAACTCTTAGAGCTACATCAATTTTCTATTAGCTATATTTCATGTAAGTGACTTTGGAGGTATGCCGAAAGTAGTCTGTTACTCAAATAACGGCGCAACCATTGCTACACAGAATGATGTTTTCTGTTGGAACATGTAGACATTGTGCTAGTCTACTTTGTGATGCTGCACTTGGAATTTAGAGCAAGTGTTTCAGTGAATAGTTTTGGGAAATGGATTGCATGCTGTTGAGGATTTGGACTGTTCGATGTTCATCGAATGATTCACATTTTGGTTTTGTGTATTAACTTGATGAAGATCGAATGATTCACATTTTGGTTTTGTGTATCAAACTTGTTTGGCAAAGTTGTAATTTTCTTACAGGTTCATAGACTTTTGAGTAACTTCAAGGGTTGCTTCCGGAGAATGGATAGATGACATTTATACGTTTGTTTACAATATATAGTATTGACTATTTTATGCTAGATGAATAATATCTCATTTAACTACACTTCCTAAATAAGAATGTTAAATATTGTGCCAACTGAAGTGTTACTTACAATATTTCCATAACTTTTGTCATTCTTGTATTTCCAAACCTTAGATTGTTTCAGTTGCTGCAAACTCGAGAATGCTTACCTACCAGCAAGCCAGTTCCTCTTTCCATTCTCTCGGCTCATGATTCACCTGAATCCGCTGTATTCTAAATAGTTATCAGCTCATTACACTCAAACAAGATGTGTTGTATTGTCTCTCTTTTATGACAGAAGCAACAGTTGTTATTGTCCGCCATTCCAAACCTCAACAGTCTATCTTTGATTGCAAGTCTCTCATGGCACTTGTCATTGTCCACCATTACAAAGCTCGACAATTTATCTTTGGTTGCAAGTCTCTCATGACGCCCAAGCCGCAAGCCACAATACAAAAGGACTCTAGGTCTGACAATATTGTTGGAGAACAAATTTCTCCAATGCACCACTGGGCTGTCATCTTTCAGCATCATATACATTTTCCTCGTATCATTCTTGCCCCTAAAGCAGCCTTCAGCATCCAGGAAAAATTTAATTTAATTTTGACAGACATTAAATTATCTTTCTTAATATAGTAAGTGTGAATTCATTAAAACTCAACTATTAAATAAACTTTTTAAAAGTCTTAGGAAAAAAATTGTGATTATGAATTTATGGTTAATAGAATTTTGAAATAAAATGAACGAATAGATGTATGAAATGAGACAATTAAATACACTTAACTAAAAAAAATATATTTAAAAAATACAAATTTCATGTATTCTTACATAAATAAATAAAATAAACATATTTGTGAATTTCAAATACTTTTTTTTTTAAAGATTTTTGTTTCACTTAACCATTCTCTCTCAATCATTCTAAACCCTTCACATGTCTTTTTTTATATACTTTTATAAATTAATATTTTCTTCTATGATTTTGATTTTAAATTTGTACTTTCATTTAATTTATAAATTTTCATATTAATTTTAAAATAATTGTTTTTATGGAATAATAAACATATTTTACTTATTTATTGTTATTGAAAATGGAGATTGGAACAACGTTAACGGCGACATTTGGGGAAAAATATTTGAGGGTTGCATGAGAAACCCTAGCCTTAGTTGGGATAACACTAGTTTGTTCGTTCGAGTTCTTGGTGGAAGTTGAGTAAGAAGCATCAGGCATCTTGGATTCAGGTAATGTTGAGAAGGATGTTTTGAGATATATTAGAGATGGTGTGAGAGTTGAATAGTTTTCTGATGGAGCAAGAAAAAAAATCGACAAGGTAGGTGTAGGTTTGCTTCTTGCGTGTTTGACAAAAATATGTATGGTAAGGTTGTAATGATTTGCAAGGATTATCGTGCATCATTAAATGGAGAGAGAAAAATCTAGTTGCACGGTTATGGATAAGTGATTGCAATGATTTTTTAACAAGACCAATTTTCAATTTGTCCTTTAAATTTTTTAATTTGGTTGTGTTGGCATGACATCTTGACCTCCCATTTCTTTACACAAGTGGAATAGCATGAAGCTGCTTGAGGAACCCATAGGTAACAAATGTCTTTAGTCCTAATTCTCTTCACCAGGACCTCATTTTTCTTATTGGTAACCGTGATACGGTGGGAGAACTGACTTGAGGTTTTGCGTTTGTGTTCGCAATTGTGCGGTTTAGCAAGAGTCGTCATCGACTTTTTATTTTATCCAAAGGAAAGGTCAAAAAGCACAGGAAAGACCTTTGAGATATTTTCTTGGGTTCGAGGGGTAGATTATGAAAAGGAAAGATGCAAGCACCCTTTTCATCCATGGTTTTCCATGGGCTCTTAGTTACTTGTTTAGATCACTTGCTTTTGCTTTTCAATTGTTTGAAATGGTGCTTTGCGTGTGGTTTTTGAAAATGCTTTGAAAAAGAGGCCTTGTCTAGGCAACCTTTGTAATAACTCTTGTTTGAATATATACAAAGGTGTTTGTCTTTTTGAAAAGATATTTCAAGGTTTGAAAGTTTGATTTGGAATTGTGTTGTGAGATGTGTTTGAAAATAGCAAGGATGTTTTGCAAACTTTTAATCAAGTAACTAAGAGTTTGTCTACCCTATTTTACTCAAAGATTTTTCCTATATGTTTTTAACCCTTTTGACAGTGTTATTTCACCATTGCATTTGGTGAACAAACTTGTGTTAGGATGTTAAATGGGACAGGCGCGGGTCATCGCATACAATCATTGAAAGCAACTTGTGAGACGCTCTAGCAATTTTGTAAGGGACGAGATCGTTTTATCGAAGGCAACATCGAGGATCATCGAGGGACTACGATCTTTATTTATCAAAAGGGCATTTGCTAGAGTGTCTCATATTCGAGGGACATGATTGCATTTCCGAGGCAACAAGCGAGGTTACCCTAGAGGTGTAAGTGTGCATTGTGTTTGTCATTTTCATGCATTTGGATCTTGTATTAGGTCATCTAGAGATTGATTTTAGATTTTCGCATACAAACTCTAATCTCTAGTCATGGCATATTTGAAAGCATAAAGTGCGAGAATTAAAATTCTAAGCTATTATAAAAGTATCCGGGAATGGGGGGTACAATTATTTACAAATGGGGATGAATCTCACAAAGATAACAATGTCCAAATATCAAGTGTTACAACTAAATCGAATTGTCGCAATCAAATATAAACTTATAACAAATTAAGAAATAAGGAAAATCAATAAATTATGAGATGCATGTATAAATAAATAAAAATCTATTCTAAAAAAGGAAGATTAAATATTTTATTCTTTTGTGTTTTATTAATTATGAAAAGAAAAAGTTTTAAAGAAAGAAAATTTAACTAAATCTCTATTATTTTTGGTATTTTCATATTAAATGTAAGAAATAAATAAAAGGAAAAAATGATTAAAAATAATTAAAAAAAGACAAAGTTTTAATATTATTATTAGTGAAATAAAAAGATAAATTAACTAAACTATTTTGAGGTATTTTCTTAAATGTAACAAATTATTAAAGATGAATTAAAAAAAATAAAATGAATTAAAAGGATTATTTTAATTTGATAAAAAAATGTATTGAATTTTATGGCTTTGTCAAAGAAAGAAGAAAACTGAAATAATTTAAAAATGGGCTCTTAGGGTTTAAATTGATTAGGCCCAAAATAAACATGAAAAGAAGGGGGCATCATGGACAATGGGGGGCGCGCACTAGCAAAAAACAACATGGGCCTAAGGGATTGGGGTCAGAAAGGCCCAGCGCCAAGTTTGTGCACAATGTGTTAGGATCTCAGCATTTAGGGTTTGTACGTTTGGCTTTACAGCGGCGCCCCTTTGCTCCTTCTTCCTCTTAATCCTTCTCAGGCCACGATGCTCTGATCTGATACTCCCTCTAAGCCCTAGCCACCGGAGCGCCACCCCACTCTCTCATCTCCTCACGATGGTCAAAGGCTTTGGTTCTTAATGGTACGATTTATCCCTTTTGATTTTAACAGATTTTCAGTTTCGTTTGCTTCGCATGTTTTGCTTTACAGTTTAGCCTTTTAATCTTTTGATGTTTACATATCTATGATGTAGCGAAGAAAGTTGGAGAAAAACGTACCTTGGTGATTTTCTGGAAAGAAAAATGGAGAAGAAAAAAGGGTGAGACAGAGGCGTGTCCTTGGTGGCTGGAGGTACGAGGAAGAGAGTGATGACGAGCTTCGCTTCTGGTATCTCTCTTTTGTTCCTTAAAACTTGAATGTTAATGATAATTCTTATTCTGAGACTTGTTGTTTGATGGATTTTGTTGATGATGATGTATTTCTGAAACTTGTTGCCTTTTGCTTCTGAAAACCCTTTTCCTCTCTCTTGGCTTTGAAGGTTAATGATGACAAAAGTTCTGAAATTTGTTGATTTTTGTTGTTTTTCGTTGATGATGATGTAGCTCTGAAACTTTGATTTTAATGGTTTGACTGTGCCTGCAAGTTTGTAGTTTGTGCCATGGTTGCAGTTTGGATTTGTTTTGGCTATGCAGGTTGTGCTGTTTGAAAACTTTGCAGCTTGTTATGTTTTGTTCACAGGGTTGGGAACTTTGTAGTTTTACAGGCTTGGCTATGCAGGTTTGGCAAGTTTGTTTTGGCAAGCTTGGCTTGTTTGTAGTTTTGGTACAGGTTTGATAACAGGTTGTGTGTTTTTGTTCTGAGTTTGAAACTCTGCAGGTTTTGGAGTTTGTTTGGCAAGCTTGGCTTATTTGCAGTTTTGGTACAGGTTTGATAACAGGTTGGTGGTGAAAACTGTTATGCTTGGCTGTTGGTTAACATGTTTGTGGTTTTAGGAGAAAACTCTTGGATTTATTTTTCTGGTTCTGTTTTTGGAGAGTTGTGGAATTGCCTTTTGTATATTTTCAGCTTGGTCCTTTGTTTAAAAGTTTAACAGGTTTTTAACTTGTTCTGCAGTTTGGACTATTTGTTTTTGTTATGCATCTTGGTTCTTCCAGGTTT